GGGAGCAGGCCTAAGCCAGCAGGTCGTTATCTCCCGAGGGGTCCCAGACTGCGAGAGGGCACAGGCCGGGCTGGGGGACCCCCCCCCTCCCCTGCCCCCCGAGTGCACAAATTTTTGTGCACCGGGCCTCTAGTCAATGATAAGAGAGAATGGTCAGTCAGCTGCCTCCTGCATACCCCTACCAGGGGATTGAGCCTGCAACCCAACAATGTGCCCTAATTGGGAATCTAATCAGTGCCTTCTTATTCCTGGGTCAGTGCTCAAATACTGAGCCATTCCTGCTGGGTGTCAGCTCTTTCTTTAATTGCACTAGACTCTAGTGACTAGAGAGATGATTTATGTTTTTTGCAAATATTTCTTATTTTAAATCACCATGTTTATTTTGTTTATTTTTTTGGTGGAATTTTTATTGAAATATGTATTTACACACACACACATATTCAGTAAAGAACACAAATTATAAATGTATAACTCAACATATTTTTATAAAGTGAACATACCTGTAATTAACATTCATACAAAGAAATATATTAGAATTAATAAGTAAAGTTAGTAAGGTTTCTTATTATACATCAATATACAAATATCAATTGTGTGTCTACATACCAGGCACAACCAAATACAAAAATAATATAACATAAAAAATGTAGTACCAAGAACAAAAGAATCTATTGAAAATGGTATAAAACCTCTATAATGATGACTACAAATTTTATTTAAGAGACATTAAAATGTAAATAAATGAAAAAAATGGATATGGTTATAGATAGGAAGATTTGAAAATGCTACTTCTAAATTATAGCATTGAGTGATCATAAACAACATCTCAGAACATATATATATTTTTTAATTCACTAGGGAATTGGAATTCATATAAAAGCCAAAGGTCCAAGAATTATCAAGAGAATCTTAAAGATGAAACAAAATTGAAGGATAAATATACTATCAGATATCAAAACCTATTATCAAGCTATAATTAATACAGTAGGATATTAATGCAAGTGTCATCACACTGACCAATAGAACAGAATAGAGAATCCAGAAACAAACCCACACATGCACACTCAACTGATTTATGGCAAAGAATGAAGACACTGCAATGATAAAAGACAGTCTTCAAATAAAGGCTAATGGCTCATTTTATATATGCATATCTAAAAATATATCTTGATCCCTACCTCAAGTTGTATACAAAAATCAATTCTAAATTTATTGTAAATCTAAATGTAAAAGATAAAACAATAAAGCCTTTTGAGAAAAACAGGAGACTATCTCCATGGCCTTAGAGTAGGAAGAGATTTCATAAACAGGATACAAAGAGCACTTGCCATAAAACAAAAAGCAGACTATATTAAAAACTATTAAATTCTGAACAAAAGCAAAGTTAAGACAGAAAAGAGAGCTGCAGTGAAGACGATAATGAGAAAGGTAAAAAAGGTGAAAAAGAACTAATGTCCAAAATATATAAAGAACTCCCACAAACAAGTAATATGCAAAGGAGAGATAATTTAATAGAAAAGTGGACTGCTGGAAGCAAATTCCAGTAGTTAGCAAAATAAATGCAAGAAGTTCATCAGAAGACTGATGGACACCTTCAGCAGGGCTGAAAATCTGCATATTATTACCTGCTGCTGGAACAGCCAAAGGCAGTTCCCTCAACCTGATGGTCCTTTATTGTTTACCAGGCCTTACCTTTGATATGTATATCTGCTTTGCTAATGGGCAAAATGTGGGAATAAAAAGCCATGGCTCCAGAGATTCAGAGAGCCCACTTCACTAGAAAGTGGAGTCTCCCCTTGATCCCCCATGCCTCCCAAATTTATATTTCTTGTCTAGTCTCTCAATTCATTTATGCGCAGCCCTTCTCCAGATTCCTGAACCCTTAATGCGGAAAGACCCTAGCAGTGGGACAAAAGACTAGAATTTTCACATAAGTGAACAATCAAATAGCCAATAAACAATGGAATAGATAATAAATTATGATAAAATCAACAAGAGAATATATACAACAATGAAAAAGGAAAGCACACAACTACATAAAATATGAATGCATCACACAAACATAATGTTATAAGAAACCGGACATAAATGCATATGCATTATATGATTCCACTTGCATAATTTTGACTTGCTATAAAATATTTCTAAAGCAAACAAAAATTAAACTTTTTGAGTTAGTGAATGTGAAGAAGCAAAAAGAAAGCTACTGGGGTGTAGACAGAGTTTTGTTTGGTTTTTTCCTGGCTATCGTGTGTTTGGTTTGTGAAGAATGTATCAAGCAGCAATGTAAAAAAAAAAAATTGAGATTTTTTTGTAATTAATATACAATTACCTAATATGGATCTTAAGTGTTTGGTTTGATGGCTTTTTGGTAATTGAATGCACCTGTGAAACCAGCACCAAAACAAGCTATAGAAATTTCTCCTGTGCCCTTTTCCAAGCAATTTCCCTCCTCCACAGACAAGCCTCTTTCATATTTCTATTACAATATGTTGGTTTTGCCTATTCTATAAATTTATGCAAATATAATACAGTATATACTGGTGTGTTGTCTTATCATTTGTTTTTGTCTGTCTTGCTTAATGTTATGCTTTTGGGAGATTCATTCATGTTATTCTATAGCAGTAGTTTGTGCTTTTAAATTTAAAAAAATTTTTTTGTGCATGTACTGTATGTTATCTGTTCTCGTTCATGTACATTTGAGTTGTTTATGGTGTTTGGCTATGGTATTTAAATGTATGAAATATTGTGTCATTATAAATGTCATATACTCATTAATTTTTTCTATTTTATCTTTTGAAGTCACTATTATTAATATTGCTAGATAATTGATATTGTTGCTCTGAAATATTTTTTTAAAATATATTTTTATTGATTTCAGAGAGGAAGGGACAGGGAGAGATAGAAATATCAATGTTGAGAAAGAATCACCGACTGGCTGCCTTCAACGCCCCCCACTGGGGATTGAGCCCGCAACCCCGGGCATGTGCCCTTGACTGGAATTGAACCTGGGACCCTTCAGTCTGTAGGCTGATGCTCTACCCACTGAGCCAAACCAGCCTGGACAATATTTTTTACTTTAATCAACATGTTTATTTTCACCCAAAGTTCAACTACTTTTAAATCATACTTGTACTATATTAACTTTCTGGAACTTGAAACATGAAAATGACTTTTAAAACACTATACAATCAATTAATATTTCTAAAATACTTCTGTTTGTATTTGGAAAATCATGAATATTTCAAGAAGAGTAAAGCTTTATGAAATGACTTAAACAGGTTCCAGTTCTTATTACTAACTAGAGGCCTGGTGCATGGATTCGTGCATGGGTTGGGTCCAGCCAGCCCCACTCCCGATCAGGGTTGAGGGGGGCGATCGGAGGTGGGGTCACCTGGGTGGAGGGGCTGTGGGCGATTTGCCAGCCAGCCCCGCTCCCTGGTCAAACTCCAGGTTGAACTCCCTGTCGAACTTCTGGTGGAGGGGACACTTTGCATATTAGCCTTTTATTATATAGGATTAAGTTTTGAAGGTAGAAATCTATTTTTGTTTTTACATTCTGTAAAATAATAGCACATGTTGCATTTTTCTATGGCTCTATGTTTAAGAAATCTAAAAGGTTTTGTAGCCCTAGCTGGTTTGGCTCAGTGGATAGCGTGTTGGCCTGTGGATCAAAGGGTTCCGGGTTTGATCCCGGTCAAGGGTATGTACCCTGGTTGGGGCACGTGCAGGAGGCAACCAATCAATGTGTTTCTCTCATATCAATATTTCTCTGTCTTTCCCTCTCTCTTCCACTCTCTCTGAAAATCAATGGAAAAATATCCTTGGGTGAGAATTTAAAAAAAAAAAGGTTGTCCCAGAAGGAAAGTAGGGGACGGTGGGGGTAAGGGGAAGAGATCAACCGAAGGACTTGTATACATGTATATAAGCCAAACCAATGGACATGGACAACAGGGGATGGGAGCCATGAGTGTGTGGGGCGGGCAGGGTGGGGAGGTTGAGGGTTAATGGGGGGGATGAGGACACATTTGTAATACCTTAACTAATTAAAAAAATAAATAAATAAAATAAAAATTGTTATGTCACTGTAAAAAAAAAAAAAGGTTGTGTAAACATTTTTAAAATCTCCTTTAAATAACTTGATATGTTTATGACATTAATTACATTTTACATATGGGAAATTGGTACCTTTAAAGATAAAATATACTGACTTTTCTTTGGTGAGTGACAGTCTTTCTGTAAACATTTTTGCTTTAAATAAATTGACATATCTGATGGTTGTATTTTTTTTAATTTAGGTTTTTTTTGCAAACTATCTACCATCTTCTTCACTTCTATTGCATTTGCCCTACGCAAATATTTATTAAAGGAAAACAGTGTTATCCTCACTACAACTGCAAATAATCCAGAAGAAAAACCAAAAGAAAAAAAGGAAAAAGAAAAAAAGGAAAAAGAAAAAAAGAAAAAAGAAAAAAAGAAAAAAGAAAAAAAGAAAAAAGAAAAAAAGAAAAAAGAAAAAGAGAAAAAAGAAAAGAAAGCTGATTTATAACTGGATCATCATTGTGTAAGAATTATGCATTGTCAGCCTATCAGTGGAATGTTATATTAATATTTATGTATGTTATATATTTATCATATATTTATTATATTTATTTGTTTATTATATTAATATTTATTTAATATTAATACATTTAAATTTTAAAATAATTATAATATAATTATGTTTAATAAATGACTGTGATTTCTATGATCCTGTTATATTTTTAGTACAAATATAAAATATAGTCTGTGTTTTCAATTTTTAAAATATATTGTGATACACAATTAATATTTTCTTTCTTTTTAAAAAAATATATTTTATTGATTTTTTACAGAGAGGAAGGGAGAGAGATAGAGAGTTAGAAACATCAATGAGAGAGAAACATCGATCAGCTGCCTCCTGCACATCTCCCACTGGGGATGTGCCCGCAAGCAAGGTACATGCCCTTGACCAGAATCGAACCTGGGACCTTTCAGTTCGCAGGCTGACGCTCTATCCACTGAGCCAAACTGGTTTTGGCCACAATTAATATTTTCAATAGAATGATAATACTTTGAAGAAAAGGATGAAGTGGAAGTGGGAAATTACTCAAGTTAATTCTGAGCATTTAATAATACTTGTACTATATTAACTTTCTGGAACTTGAAACATAAAAATGACTTTTAAAACACTATACAATCAATTAACTCAGGTTAATTCAAGTTACATATTAGTTATTGGCCTTTGGTTATATTGGATTACTTAGGTTTTATATGCTTTCTTTTTGTTGCTTTTTATTTGCATTGTGGATGTTTATTTCTCAATAAGTTTTCAAAATAAAATTAAATTTGTCAGTCCAATTCATATAATAAAAATTTAAATTGAAGTTATAATTATTCTAAAAAAATATTTTAAACTTTTAAAAATTAACATTTTACTTAACTTTTATTTGATCATGGAAAGGTTTTCTTAGAAAATTTCTCTGGTCAATTGGCCAGTTTACAATACATATTTTTCATGGTCCTGAAAATTCAGTTTGATCCATAATACCTCTCTATTTTTACCTTCACTTGAATTGTGTTGATAAAAACTACCTGATACTTGACTTGATATCCATTTTTGTGCTTTTGTATTTCATTTTGTGATTAATAATTATTTCATGTGAAGAAACATTCAAATTTGTATGTAGAAAGCATGTCAACCATTTTTGCAATTTTTCTTAAGCTTAAATGTGTCAATAAAATGTTTTTGTTATAATTACTTCATGTATCTTTGAACATCCATGCAAATTATTTAGCAATTTTCCAAATATTGGAATGAAAATCAGATTGTTATAAAACAAAAACTTCTTTACAATTGTTTTTATTCTCTTGGGAGAAAGAATAACTGATAACATTTCTCGTTTGTTATTCATATTAGTCAAAGATTTAGTGTGTAAGAGTAGACATTGTTTTATTTGAGGTCATATATGGCAGAAAGAAATGTGAAGCAAGGAGTATTCATATCATACTGTATACGTTTCTTCCTTAACTGTGACATGCATTTATAAAAATTGATAAATTAGTCTACGTGAAACTCTATTTAAATGCTTGGCTCTTCTCTATTTGAACCAGCAGGATTGCTGAACATCTGAGGATCAGAGCGTGAAAACAGGAGTTTTTCCTTCAAAGATTCTATAAAATGTGTTGCTGTACTTCACATTCATAAAGAAAAATCAGACATAATGTTTACCTAAGCAGTATCTATAGAAATCTTTCTTTTCAGAATAAAGTACTTTCTTGTGAAACATTTCTAATGTTTTTAATGTATATAGGATTTTAAATATTAGTTTGCAATATAGATACTTGTAAGAGAATTAAAGTTTAATTGTTTTGGGTTACTTATATCCTTTCTTAACATTCTACTGTCTAAAAGTAGTATTTTATAATTAGAGGCCCGGTGCACAAAAATTTGTGCACTGGCGGGGGGGCTGGGGGGAGTGTCCCTCAGCCCCACTTGTGCCCTCTCACAGTCTGGGACCCCTCGGGAGATAACGACCTGCTGGCTTAGGCCCACTCCCGGGTGGCAGAGGGCAGGCCCAATCCCTAGGTGCAGCCCATCGTTGGGCTCAGGGTAGGGCCAATTGGGGGGTTGGGGCACTGCCCCCTGTCACACTCAAGGCAGGGCCAATCAGGGGGTTGGGGCGCTGCCCCCTGTCACACAGAGCAGGG